TTGTCCAAGAGGAAACATTTGTATTCTATTGTTCAAGCAATCTGCAACGTATAAATTAACTTGAGCATCGACAAAAATTCCAATAGGTGTATTAAGTGTAATCGCTGTTGATCCAGCTGTACCGTTGCCAGCAACAATAGTTGATGTGAGTACACTATCATTCAACCATTTCTTAACAATTTGATGAGAAGTATACGCTGAACAATAAAGAGTATTACTAATATCAACAAAAATACCAGCACACAAATTAGGAACTGACATAGCAGGAGTACTTATATTTGAGTTGAATAAAAATTTATCAATTCGATGATTATTTACACCATTATCAATATATATATCACCTAAAGGAGTAGCGAAAAGTGTATATGGTGTGCTCAGACTACCAGAAATAATTTTATCTGGATTAATACTTCCTTCGTACCATACTATAATCGTATTAGTTTGTTGATTAGCTACATAGACAGTATTATTAATACTAACGAAAACACCAAATACACTTGTTCCAGCCGTACTACTATTAGCAAATGTAATTCCATTTGTATACCAAGTTGTAGATGGACATAAGTTTGGTTGATTGATAGTTGTGCCTGAAAATACAAATAAATTAAAAGGCATCGAAGTTACTCTTCAAACATGTTCATCGAATGAAATATTTTCTAATACAAAAAATATTAATCTTATGTTTGATCCTATAAAGATCTTAAGAAAGTTGGATAGATTAATATAATCATAATCAATTTTACTATTGTGTCTTACATAAAAAAGAAATTAAGATTGATTAATTTAAATAAATATGTTCAGTTAGATTTTATCGTAGTTATTAAATTCTATTTAACTTACTATAAATATTACTTGTTTTCAGAAATTTTTGAATTCTATGATTAGATGCATCAGTAATAAATATATTTCCATGACTATCAAAACTTAAAGTCATCGGATAATATAATTGATTAGATGCTGAACCTTGAACTCTTAAACATCCTACTAAACAACGAAATCCATTTGGTCCTGAACCAACAATACGCTGGTTGAGAGTATCCGTAATAAAAAGATAACCATTAGCGTCAAGAACAACTCCGCTAGGACCAGAAAGATCAATAGTTGATGATGTTCCGGTGCCAGCTGCCGTAATACCATTTAATTGATTTGATTTAAATAATTGTATTCGATTATTACCATAATCAGCAACATATAAATTTAAATTTGTATCAACAAATATACCACGAGGAGTATTAAGTGTACTTGATGTTGATCCTGAACAGTCTGTCCCAGCAGCAACTACCCACATATTTGAATTACTATTTAACGATTTTGTAACAACTTGATGAACTGTACATTGTGAACAATAAATAGTATTATAGATATCAATAAAAAGACCACAACATGTGCCTTTGACAATCATTACTGAAACACCAACCGTTGAATTTAATGTCCATCTATCAACTTGATTATTTGCACCACCATTATCAATATAAACATCACCGTTAAGTGTAACGAACATAGTATAGGGATAGGATAAGCCACCACTAATAGTTCTTATAGGTATAGTACCACCGTCGAGCCATACTTGAATAGCATTTAGAGAATATTCACATACATAAAGAGTATTGTTAGTATCAACGAATAGACCAAATGGATATATTCCAATGGTAGTACTGTTGAAAAGAGTTACTCCATTAGAACTCCAAGTAGCATAAGCACTGAATTTTGGTAGGTTGTATGAAAGACCTAAAAAGATATATTTAGTAAGAATTCTTTCTATAATACTTATATAAGTGATAGATTTTATTGGAAAACTGTACTGAGAATTTCGAGTATTTCTTTTATCAACTCAAACTCGCGCGAAACGTCGTGGTAATGTTTAATCTGTTTCTTTCATTTCTACTATACTAATCAGGTGTTGTCGACTAATATTGTTCTCATTTTCTATAGCTAGATTTGCTTACTTAACGAACAGTACACTGAAAAGTATGATAAATTAATTAAATTTCATATGAATATTATCAAACTATCTGCATAAAATTTCCAAAAAAATGTTCCATAAACAGCATACCTGTCGCAGAAGATACAGTTGAAGAACTTGTTTCGTAAGTAGATGTTAATAAAGGAACTGATTGACTATTATTCATTGATGTTACTATAAAAAAAACAAATCTAAATTGTCAGTAAAATAAAAATTAATAAGAAAATACCACTAGACATTGTTGTTGTTCCATCTATTAAAAAAAGACATAATTTTAATTAATAAAATAAATGCGATTTATTTTCACTTACTACATTCATTTGTCATTAAGAGAAATTTTTGAATTCGATGGTTCCCTAGATCACTAACAAATATATTTCCATAACTATCAAAACTAAGTGAGTATGGATAATATAATTGACTAGATGATGAGCCAGCAGTTCCAGAACATGCTGCTATACATCGATATCCATAAGGTCCTGAACCGATAACACGATAGTTAACCTGATCAACAATAAAAAGATATCCATCAAAATCAAGAACAATTCCAGTTGGATAAGAAAGTATGATAGTGCCTGTTGGTACTTTTGTTCCATTTATTTGTCCTGATGCAAATTTTTGAATCCGACTGTTAGAATTGTCAGCCACATATAGATTTAAATTATTATCGACAAAGATACCACATGGTGCATTAAGTGTAGACGGTGTTGCTCCAACAATTCCTGTTCCAGCGACAGTATTCCAAATATTTAAATTTG